TTCAGGATTTATTTATGCCAGTTGTGTCGTTTTTTTGTCTCGTACATACAACGTGTATGATTATATGGTGTCTTAATTTTCTTGAAATTGATGGTGATACATGCCATAAACGATACTCGGATCACGCAGAAATGCACACATACACGATAAACGATAATAATATCTTGAAATTGCCATTGTATTCAACATCACAAATAAAGCAAACACCGAAGAAAACACACTTATACCACGTATATGTCATCGGTTTCTCGCTTGTGACGCTGTCTCTATAATCAGATTAGCTCCTTGTACAGACATTCAATTTCCAATTTCAATTATGTGCTGGCTCCATGTACAGCATTTCATTTCAATCTCGTACAAATACATTGATGGTACGACAAAGCTAGGGTAGTTAACTTGAAATACGACACTGTAAATTGATTGAATGCCATTGTTAGAAAATGTATTGTAATAAAGGCTAGGTATGGTACGGGTAATAACATGGTATGTGTGGACAGGATATAATCAATAGGTATTTGTGTTATCGTTTAATGTTTAGTGATTCGGGTTCATGATGGCATATAATTATAGTCTTCAATGAAAAGTTGAAATGTTGCTAACGTTATCCGCGCTCTCAAACTGACTTTCTAGATTTCCAGGGCCAAAGATCGAATGATGTTTTTATTGGGCTAACTAAATATATATTAAATTAATTTATAAGAATTTGGGGGAAACGGTTTGAGAACTAACGTCGCTTATTCAAGACGCGTGGTAACACACGGCATGTCTCAGTATACAAACAACTGGAACTCCATAGCGCAAGCTTTTCCGATTACATAGAAACGGGTTGTTTTTTCTGCCAGTTCGCCAGCGATATTTATTTCTAACGGAAAATTTTGAAACCTGCGTTGTCGTACATTAATATATAGTAAATAGTCTTTGTTGGTGTAGGATGGAATGAGGTGGAGCGGCTCGCATCTGTGCTGAGGAAGGAGGCTCAGTGTTTGTTAGCGCAGTGTATTGATGCCATCAGAAAACAAGCTACTCCACCCGAATAAAACAGTTTCGATATATTTTACTATAAACACGCTCATTTGGAATTGTTAAACAGTACAAACTAAGGGGACTTTGTTGTAATGGGTTGGTCATAAATTATGTGTCATTAAAATAGAGATGTGACGTAGCCAATGACGTGGTAGCTCCTCGTCAATTAGATTGCTATTTCATAAATCATAGAAAGTATAATGCCTTTTATTAGATGACGTCATACAGCTGCACCCTATTGTTGTTGTTGTTGTTGTCTTAGAGACGTAAATTTATTAGCCAAAAGATACAACTGAAATACATAAACTAATTAGGATTTGCGGTAATATGATTGCAAATCTGATAAAACTACTGTACAGCTAATATCTCTTTTTTTGTATTTCTGTCTCTTCGTCAATCGCTTTTGTTATCAATATATCAGCCTTGAAACCCGAAATCGAAAATGACGTTGAAGTGATATAATTGAATAAATTTGCGAAAAATTTAATTATAGAGTAAAAGAATGATAAAAGACAGGTCCGGAAATTTGATAACCTGTCATAGAAGGTACTTGTAGCAAACAGTGGAACTCTCGTTAAATGTTGAACTGCACTCATGGAAACAATGTGCAGGAAACAGACAATGTGTAGGAGTGCAACTCACCTTTCTGTACTCAATTTTTAAACATATTCATATTCTACCATTTATATAGAACGGTTTTGTAATCTAGGTTAATTATATGTATAATTGCGACAATTTTCCGGATGAATTTCACTGATATAAAGCGAATGAAATTATATTACAGAACTCCGCGTGCATTATGGTTAATAACGATTACAGAATTTTTCAACGGTCTAATTACAAACACACAATGTGATGTTCTTGCGTGTCCAAGCCACCGCACAATCTGATACTTTTGCTTAAATCAGAAGTAGGAACGTTTAGTGACCTATTTGTAGAGTTTTGTTGTGTTCGAGATTGATGGTTGTACGCTTAGTTCGTGATCAGAATATCGGTGAAACATTTATACGAACGATCTAAATGTAACGCTATATTTGACCTTTCCAAAAGCTGTTACTGTTTGTCTACACGTGTCCAATGCACGCCGTGAATTACGTATATAATGTAAAATGTTGATCAGAGGTCATAACCAGTTGTATATACATTACCATATTGACAGCATGCGTAAGGTTAGCAAATAAATAGTTCCGGTCAGATATATATCTTTTTATACGCCGACACCCGTCAAATACTTATACCATGATCCAGAAAAAAACGAAAAGAAGAAAAAATTTTGTATATTCCCACTACAACTAAATATTAGCTGATTTCAAACAATATTGGCATGAAATATCAATGTAGTACTCTTAAAATAGACATAAGCACGAAAGACTATGTCTTACAAATCTAATCAGAATGAAGAGAATTTAGAATTAGACAGTTTCGATCAATGTTAGTCAATGCGCCAAAAACATATGCAATACTATTGGAAATACCAGATACCAAATACTGAAATGTACACACACAGAAATCCTTTAAACTTCTTTATAATAAATACAAATATATAATACATTGATGCATTTGACCGGTTTCTCTTTATTATTCACATATAGGTAAATGGTGATAACATTTATGAGATGCGTGCGAAGAACAATATTACTCAAATTTTACATCATGTACCGACATTTGAGATACAATATATATGACATCATGCTTTGTTTAATGATATTGATTGGTATTAGACGTCGTTGAACACGATATACTATGATTTATAGTAAACACGTGGGCACTCGACTCACACAAAAATAAGGAGGAAAAATTCTCCTAATTTTGTTTCAAAATTGGAAAACAATTAAATTTTGACGAATGACATTAATTTATGTTTTTTAGTACAAAATATTAGCTGAAAAAAAATTGTCTAAAAAAATAAAATAATGTATATTTTTAGAATAATTCACCTGTTTCATAAAAAAATAACAGTAATCAATCGAATATTCTAATAGTTCATCTGAATGTTCTCCCATATGTAACCACACACAAAAGCGTCTGATGTAGCGGGACTTTTCTACCATAGGAGCCAATGGATATTTGACTTGGATATTACCTTGATAATCATACATTTTATCTGGGGTTTGTGAATACCAACATAAAATAATATTGCGAAACGAAATAGCATTTGTTATAAGGTAGCGAAGTACTTTAAAACGTTGTTTTATCGCACTATTATATGTTTGATTGCGCATCAGTGTTTTAATCTGTCAGCTGTTGTAAATCTCTAAAAAGTATAGATAACTATCTTTGTAC